CTCCTGACGAATTAGGACGTCTTGGAGAGAGCAAGCTGAGAGATATTCCGATTTTGACAGAGCATGGAGTGTCTGCAGAGTTTGGACGAGATGTGAAGGCAATGATGATTGCTGAGCAAGCCTTCCTGAGAGAACAAGCGAAGGAACGACTTCGCCGCGCAGAACTATCCGGAAATCGGCCCATGAAGAATGTCAGCCCAGGAGACCTGGTCTATGTGTGGCGTCGGATGACTCCACGACAAGATGGCCAACGGCATTTCAAGGGTGGTAGATTTGTGGGTCCTTATCGGGTTCTAGCAACTGAGACTAGACAAGCTCAGGAAGATCTTCGAGCTGGGCACATCGNNTCGTATGGTTATATCGTGGGGGTCAACTCCTCAAGGCTTCCCCACAACAGCTACGACCGGCGACAGCTAGAGAAGAAGCTTGGGCTGAACTTCAAGGGACTAGTGAAATTCCATGGACTCTCTCGTCAACCCTCCAGCAGAAGCCACCCCATGAGTATGAAGATGTCACTCAAGATGGTGATTTGATGCCCTCGGTGATGCAGGATGGTGACCCAGAAGAGAGTGAACCGCCACCTAGGATGATGCGTAGGATGAGAACTAAACAACAGCCACCCCAAGCGAAGGAGCCTCGAAGCCGAAGTCCTGTCGAAAGAAGCATGAGGGATGGAAACCAAGATCCGGGAACCAAGGAACCCAAACCACCTGAAACGAGAAGTGAAGAACCTCTCCGAAGCCGAAGTCCATTAATCCGAGGAAGAACCGTGAGGACTCACCCTATCATCCTCTGATTATCTGGAAGAGTGTGGTGTTAATTTCCCTGAGGAGGAGTCGGAGTATTGGAAGGCTTCAGATTCCGCCGTGGCTTTATCTCTGGAGTTGCCTGGGTTGAAGACTCGCAAGGGCAAGGAATGGGTTCGAGACTTAGGTTGCTACTTTGTGAAGCAATTACGGAGGAATGCAGTGGAAGTGTCAGAAAAGCGACTGACAGAAGCTGAGAGAGAGGCGTTCAAAGGAGCGAAGCAGAAAGAAGTGAAGAACTTCGTGGTGGCCAAAGCTTTTCAAAAACTCCCTGAACACCTGAAGCCAAGCAAGGAACAGGTGTTGAAGATGAGGTGGTTGTTGACATGGAAGGTGGACGAGGATCATAAAGATGGTGAGCCAGTGAAGCGTGATGCTGTAGGTAACCCCCTGAAGCCAAAAGCTCGAGCGGTGGTGCTAGGATATATGGACCCGGAGTATGAGCATCGACCTACAAGCAGTCCAACCATGGCCCGAACAACTCGACAGCTGTTCTTACAACAATGTGCCAATCACAAGTTTACCGTGGAGAAAGGGGACATTAGTGGAGCGTTCTTGCAAGGAGACAACTTTGGTCCCGAAAGACCCATGGTGTGCGAGCCTCTCCCTGAAATCTGCGAGGCCTTAGGAGCCTCACGGAAGCGAAATGCTTCTCACCAAGGCTGCATACGGCTTAGTGGAGGCGCCCATACAGTGGTACCTGACAGTGGCTCGGTTTCTCGAGTCCATTGGAGGTGAGCGCCAGTTCTCCGATCCCACGTGCTGGGGTTTCTTCCGCGCAGACAGGACACCTATTGGATGGGTGTGTGGTCACGTGGATGATTTTCTCTTCGGAGGCAATTCCCAGGACCCGGCATGGCAGAAGATTCGGAGACTTATTCAAGAAAGATTTAAATGGGGCCAATGGGAGAGCGGAAAGTTCACTCAGTGTGGCGTTGTGATTGAGCAGGATTCCGAAGGGTTTTCTTTGAGTCAGCCAGATTACCTTGAGGCCGTGAGTGAGATTCATGTGAGTAAAACTCGTTGGCAACAGCCCGAAAGCCCAATCAATGGTCTGGAGTTACAGCAGCTCAGGAGTGTTTTAGGGGCTCTCTCATGGCATGCAAGTCAGGTCGCACCACAGTGGTGCGCTCCCGTCAGTCTTCTTTTGTCAAAGATTCACACAGGGGTTGTGAATGATATCCTGGAGACAAACAAGCTACTCCGGAAAGCAAAGTTGGGCCAGCATCAGAAGATGCGAATCCATGGGCAAGGTCATGAGCTTCCTCTTCTGGCAGCCTGGGTGGACGCAGCAGATGGTCATCGACCAGATGGTGGCTCTACGAAGGGGATCGTGATCGGGTGGGCTCCTCGTCGTCTTCTCGATGGAGCCTTGGTTCGCATCAGCCCACTGTTTTGGCAGTCGGCCAAGATCCAACGGACATGCAGAAGCAGTGGCGCCGCCGAGACGCATGCAGCAGTAGATGCGGATGATGAGCTATATGCGGTGAGGTTTCAGGTGTTTGAGTTTCAAGGGGGTCAGGTGCCTTTGTGGTCGTGCGATGATGCGGTGGAAACCATTGAAGGCGTGCTGATAAGTGACAGCAGAAACCTGTATGATCGAATGCAACAAACGGTGTTGACCTTGAAAGGAGCTGAAAAACGAACTGATATTGCTAGTCTGTGTTTGAAAGAAAGCATGCAATCCACCAAACTCCAGGTGCGTTGGGTCAATGGGGATAGCCAGCTTGCTAACTCTTTAACTAAAGACAATGAGCTTCATCAGTACTTCGAGTTCCTCCGGAGAGATGGTCAATGGCGTATTGTGTATGACCCCGAACTCCTTTCCGGCAGACGTCGTAAGCAGTTAGGGCTTGGTTCTTTGCAGACACAAGTGGCAGAGTGAATCCCACGTCTCTAAAATTTAAAATTTTGGGGGCGTGCAAGCTTTCAGCTTGAGCAGCTCGCAGACTCGTTCCGGTTGCAAGCACCTTTTCGGTCCGAGCAGTGAGGAAAAAGGCAGGACCGCGCCTGTGTTTGTGCTGGAGTGCGCTACCTCGTTTGCA